TTCCTTTTCCATATAGTCTATAGGTTCTTTCTAGTTCTCTGTCACAAATAAGGTAAAAGTTTTTATTTTGATTTCAGGGCACTAGGAATGAGACAACAAATCCAGAAACTGAGATTTCACATGTAAACCCCTCAGAGGAGACAGGCAAGTGCATTACCACAGATGATGAAAGGGAAAAACATCAAGGTGCTGACCAAGTGAATGAGGTGCAAGTGAACTTTAAGCCTAAGGAAGACCATTCAGAGAGTAATAATACAGACGCAGAGAAGGCATTTAAGAAGCCTGACAAGGTTCTTCCATGTCCACGATGCAACAGTTTAGACACAAAATTCTGTTACTTCAATAATTACAATGTCAACCAACCTCGACACTTCTGTAAGAATTGCCAGAGATATTGGACAGCTGGTGGAACAATGAGAAATGTTCCTATTGGTGCTGGACGTAGGAAGAATAAGCACTTAGTTTCTCAGTATCGTCAAATAGTAGTTTCTCCTGATGGAGTGCCAATTACTCGTATAGAAACCCCTGATGCGGCTAATCAGCAAATTCTATCTTCTGGTGAATCTGCAACTGCAACCACCTTTAGGCCATTGGTAGGAAATGGAACAGTTTTAAAATTTGGTACAGAAGCACCTCTCTGTGATTCCATGGAGACTGTGCTTAGCCTTGGAGATCAGAACAGATGTAATGAAAAGGGGATGGGCAACTCTATAGAAATAAGAGAGGGTCTTTCTTCTGGTGGTGGACCTTCCATGACTGTTTCCAGCATACAAGGAAATGAATTATCGGAAAATGCTGTGCGAAAGGAGCCAGCAGGTGTGCCAGGATCTAATGAGACAAATGCACCACATCCACTGCATTGCTATCCTGTTTCTCCATTGGTTTTTCCTTTGAATTCAGGTGTGAACAATATAGCTGCTATGGCAGCAGGTCAAGGTTCTCAGCAAGCTTCTGCACTAAATAGTAGTAATGCTAACCCAGCTCAGTGGTGCTCTACACCAATGGTGGCTGTTCCTGGATTTTGCCCGCCGAATATTCCTCTACAGTTTGTGCCTGCTGCTTATTGGGGTTGCATGCACTTATGGACTGCTGCATCAGGAAATATGTCATTGACTGGTTCTAATGGTTGCTCATCTCCTTCATCTAATAGCAACAGTTGCTTATCAAGCAATGGTTCACCAACACTAGGAAAACATTCCAGAGAAGTGAATTTTGTGGGAGAGGAGCAGTCAGACAAGTCTGTGTTGGTTCCTAAGATACTTCGAATTGATGACCCAAATGAAGCTTCAAGGAGTCCAATATGGACTACATTAGGCATCAAACCTGACCAGAAGGTTGCTGTATCAGGAGGTAACATCTTCAAAGCTTTTGAACATAAAGAAAAAGGCAAAGACTGTTCACTGGATGACAGTCATATTTTGGAAGCAAACCCTGCAGCTCTTTCTCGCTCTCATACATTCCAAGAGAGCACATGAAGGTCCGTAGAAATATTTGGTGTGAAAAGCTTTCTTGTTATATCCTCTATGCAGATTGAAAGTTGCTCCCATCTTGATTGCTTTACATCCGGGGCATACATGGTTCTGCTCCACTCCAAACACAATCAATGAGTTTATGCAAAGCAGAAGCTTCTGAGATAATACCTGGGGATTGTCGACATATCAACTCTCCTTAGAGCTGTGTAAATAGTAAAGGACAGCAATTGAGTGGTTGTTCATCTTTATTCACAGCCCAATTTCAAGTTTCAACTTATAAACATGCTTGTCTTTCTTTCCATAATTTTCCCAGTAACAGAAGGATGAGAGGATGTTCCTCTACTTGTTATATATTAAAATTATGTTGTTAAAATGTTAAAATCCATGTTTGGCTTAGCCTTTTTTTTTCTTTTTCCATTTGTTTTTCCCATTTATTGGTTAAATTCCCTTTGTTGTGCCTCTACTTTTAAGGTTTTCCATTTTTTTATCCTTCAACTCAATTTTGCACTTAACTTTGTAGTAATTAGTCACCAAAGTTTTCATCGGCAACAACTGTAAAAATACTATTAGTAGATAGTGTAAGGTGTACTTTAGCCAGTTGCAAAAATAAAAATGGCTCAAGAATGCTGCTGCCATTCAAGAGAAAAAACCGATAAAAGAAAGAACTCCTGAACTACTCCCAAAGTTCAACTTTCTAAACTCACATCAAGACATCCTGGTTGATTTTAAAAAATTGAAGTCTGTACAAGTTACCAAGATTAACAGAAGCAGAACATCGGAATGAGTTGAGTGCTTCCTCGAGAGATTTGTGCTACAAGTCCTGAGATAATCCATCCCACATACTAGCTTTAATCCAATAAAAGGACTTGAACTTAATTATATCCATTACCTTGCTTACAGGATCAGCTTCTTCATTAAAAATCTCCTGGTTACACCACAACCATATGGACCAAACAGTGGCAAACCATACAGCTATCCATGCTTCTCCTAACAGGTCATTTGCAATCAAACCACTGTGCTGCAGGCTGCAGCAAATGCTTTCATCCTTCTTCATGCATTACCATTTTAAGGTCCCACCAATCATAGCAAGATGTCCGAACTTTCCAAGGAACCAGACAAGAGTATAGAAGTTGATTAGAAATTTCATCATGTTTCCCACACAGAACACACAGTGCATCCTCGTGATCTAGCAGCAAACCCCATTTCATCACATTTACTTTGGTTGGTATTCGATTCTGAAGAGCTTTGCACACAAATGCTGAAATCTTCGATGGTACATTCTTAGCCCAAATAAGCTTGAAGTTGAGATTCTGCCGTGGGATCCCTTCCAAACTGAAGGCTTTATTCGCTGATCTCACTAGATATACACCTTTGCTGTCATGTTTCCACCTCCAACTGTATTGCTTGCCTTGCCTGAGTTTGGTTCCTTCGACTTCTGCTACCAAGTCCTGTAAAAGATAAAGTTGCTAGGAAAACAGGTTTCTCCTTCATCTCCAACACCGTTTCCTAACTCTATCTCTCCAGCACCCCATATAAGAAACTAAGGCATCTTTTTATAATCTTCAACGCTAAGCTGTAAAATCTTCCATACTTCTTTTAAAGTTTTTTCCCCTGCCCATTTTTTATGCCAGAACAGAGTTTCACTGCCCTCTCCAACTGAATTCTATAACCCCCAGATAACCATCCCTTCCTAGTAGGAATTAACCTATCTAACTCCCACGGATCTTTCCACAAAATTGAACTTCTATTTCTATTCACACACCCATCCCACTCATTTTTTGTATCTCGACCATGTAATGCCTTGGCATTATAACCTTTCTCCACAGTGCTTCTTAATTTTTCATTTAAAAACCTCCATCTCCATTCACCTAGTCGTTTATTTCACTATCCTCTCTCCATTTAAGTACCGCATTAAACTTTCACCCCCAAAGCTGGGATAGGATCTGTTAAAAAAGGGGTAATCAGTTGATTGAGCTTCTTTTTCTTTGATTGATAAAAAGGGGTAATGTTTTGACCAAAGATGGAGTTCAGAGAGGCTATGGCGCAAGTGGAAGGGAGATGGAGACACACTATGGTAGCATTGGAC